CGACCAAAGAGGGAACAGAAATTGAAAAGAAAAAGAGGGAAAAAACAGATTTAGATGAACTACAAAGATGCAATAGATGCTGGTAACCGGCGCTTAGTATTTAACATATTTCCACTTGTTCATACCCTCCTGATGAGTCGGTGAAACCGCCATAAACCAGTTTGCCACATCCCCCCGTTTGTTCAACTTCGTTGTCCTCTTCTCCCTCTCTGCCTACGGTTTACCGTCGGCAGCTCTATTTGACCATAGATAGTTAAATATCGTCAGGCGACGTCAGCCAAGACCTGTTTCCACGAACTGATACAAACAATCTCCCCCCACACCACCTACAGAAAGTTAGAAACCACATCGAGATCAACACAGTCAATGTGCTCCTCTCTCTCTCTTTGTCTGGGTGCACGTTTTTCTGAGTACGTCCTGACAATTCGATACGTAATGTTGAATGTTCAATATCAAACGACATCGTGTCTGGAAAGCAAGAGTGCGCCTCTCTCTCTCTCTCTCTCGCTGTGTGTGTGTGTGTGTGTGCGTGTGTGTGCGTGTGTGCGCCTTACAAACACCTCGAACCATAGCCATGGAATCTCCACCCTGAGCCCACGATATCAAACATAGAGAACAATATAAATATCCATACATGCCTCTTTCTACTCTTTAGTGGAGCGCTGCGAACACTACACACTGTACACAGTTCTCCCCCACGTCCCCCCCCCCTCTCTCTCTTCTGTCCTGCCGCAGTTTGCCAGGGATACAACAGCCGAATGGGAGACTCGGAGCGACAACGCGATCCTTGCTTGGCACCTGACAGTGTATTTCGGTTGTCTAAAGACTCTTGCGAGGAAAAGCATGAAGGCGAGAATACATCTTCTCCCTGCAGATGCACTCTCCACCTTCTCTCCTTCTCTCTGAAACCGCATCTTCGGCAAAGCCAGGGGATCACAGATGTCTTCGCTCCTTTCGCCGTAAGGTTGTAAAATACTTCACCCACCATCTGACCACCAGATTGTTTAATGACAATGATGTACGACTATTTTCTTTTCAATTTCAAGGCTTCCAAACGTTGCTCTGGCCGCTACAACGATCACAAACAACACTCTTACGTCCCTCTCCGTTATGTGTCATTAGAAATGGTTCTACCCTACGTGATGATGTGCAGTTAGAGATGGCTGATGATGTGGAAAGTTAAAAATGCATAGGGGCTGGATTGCAGTGCGTTCTGAGGCCCCGTACAATAATCACACCCCTCTGCGCGCCTGCCTCCATCTCAGTGGTATGCACTTGAGAAAAACGCGGTCACGCTGCATTAAATTTTGATTGCGTGCCGCTAAGAAAGGCTGCAATGCATGGAAGAGGGGTTAGGATTTAAATGTTGAAGGCAACGAAAGGTGAGGGCTATATTACAGTTAACACTCCACAACATCTGCTTTCGGAAGTGAGACTCGATAATATCGATTCGAATCTTGGAAGCAACGAGAGTGGAGGGCTAGGTCAACCCACGTGACCACGTCTGCTAACATGCAGCTTTATAAGGTCGGAAAAACCCAGAAAAAATAGTGGACGCCCACAAGCCTCGCGGCAAGACTTGGGTCCACGTTTTACCCCAAAGAGCGCAAATCGTGAAGTCAGCGTGCTAAAGATTAATTTGCACTCTTCACCCCTCGCCGCAAAACTTGAGTGCATGTTTAGAACCCCGAAACATGCACAACTCGTGTAGTCAGCGCTAAACAGTATTTTCACTTAATTAATTTATTACACCCCAGACCCTGCTGTCCTTTCAGCCTTACCGCCCCTGGACAGGGTTGCAAAAACTGACGTGGAAGTGTTTTTTCTTCAGGGCAGGTCACACAGTTTGCCGCGGGCAAACACATACAAAAGTTTTGCCCGGGAGGGAAGGGTGGGGGAATCAAGGGAGATCAAGGGGGGGAACTACCTAAGTGGGGGGAATGAAGGGGGGGATCTAACTCCCACCGACGGGCCTAGCTAAGTTGGTACACCAATCAACTATTCGGTTCTTTCCCAAGTTTGAATCGGGATGCAATCAGATGAGCATAATAAAATCAAATTCCGAAGGATAAATTTCAAAAATAGCGCGTCGCGATCGTTTCACAGCAAAAATATTGGCTGTGCCCAAGTTTCGTTGCAAAATGTACATCTTTCGTCGCAGATCTTGAGGTCCCGGTAGTTCCACAGCGAAAATATTTGCGGGCGGAGGAGTCCCACTTCCCTTCCAAAAATAGATGTTTCGGTCCCTCGGACTCGGACAACATTTCTGCTGCGACACATCGAAAAAGCGCTATTTCTGCAATTTACCCCAATTCCGAATTACCTGGGGCCGGTCAGTTCAATGATGATATCTCAAAGCTGTCGCCCTTTAAGGAATACAAAAACAAGAAACTCCCCATCTGCTCTGAAACATCGAACGCTGTGGAGCGCTCAAACCGTCGAAAACCTTCCATGCACTACATACGTCCACAAGTAAGACCCCTCTAAGAAGTAGATCACTGTCGTTCTGACGAAGTGCAACATCACTTCGTGACAGACTTGAACGCGAGAAAATTTCTGCCCCGTCAGAGATTAAGTGAAAAGTCGTCATACACTCAGTCAAATCCACTCAGAGACCCAGTCAGATAAATCAAAGATTCCGTTTCAGGCCTTCGTAAAAAAACGGGGGGGGAGAGAGAGAGAGAGAGAGAGAGAGAGAGAGAGATGCCCGCCGGTTTGGTAGCCGCTTAGCGGCTGTTGGTACCATCGTCATAAATCCGATAAAATTCACTCACGGAAGTCCAATCAACTGAAGCCTCATTCAAAGATGCGGTCAACGGTCAACGATTCAGGCAAAGATCCGGTCAACGATTCAGGCAAAGACACAGTCAAAGCCCCATTCAAACCCTCCATCATACTCGACGAACGGAGAAAAAGGTTTAAAATCACCCCAAAGACGAGAGATTAGCTATCGAAGTGGGACTGTGGGAACACCCCTCTCCGTTGACCTCTACCGCTTAATAGACCTTTTTCAAGCAGGCAATGATGCATGCACGTCGATTCAAGCCACGCATGCATGTCGATACCACCCTTAAATGGACGTGCATTCCAACCATCCAGGCACGTCGATTCTATCGTGCATGCACGTCGGCTCGATCAAAAGCACGTCGATTCAATCCATGCACGGCATTGCACGCACGTCAATAATCCATGCATGCACGTCGATCCCTACATGCACCGCTTTCAATAACACAAGAAACAACCACTCGCGAAAAAATCCATGCACACATTCGGCAAAAATACTTCACTCCTCCACATCGTTCCTCCGCCAGACGTTCGCCATATGAACTCTTTTTCTTTTTCCCTCCCTTTAAAAGACGTCGGCCTTAAACGTCATCTTCGACCTGACCACGCCGGGCCCCGGGTATATTCAGAATTCCCTCAGAGTCTGCTTACATCTGGATTCAAACTTGGGTCGGTGTTTCAAGTTTCAACAGTTCAACGTGTACCAACTGACCACCGCCAGCTGGCAGCTGGTGCAGCTAAACTTTTTTTTTTTTTTTTTTTTCAGCTAAACTTTTCGTACTCCAGACCCATTTCCTTAAAACTCTGTTTTGCTATTATCAACTACCTTCTACGGAAAGCCTCCTTTCGTCAGGCTTTAAACTTCTACTACCACCGCTTCCTAGAGTGCCCGTATACAAGCCATGATTTTAGGAAACGTTCGGCCCACTACAAGACTACAGAAGCGCCCAAATTCATCCGACTAGAATTGTTTCTACTCTACTGATTTTTTCCGTGGCCGATAGCTGGGCCAAGTACTGGTCGTTTAAACTCAGTTACGTGTTCAATCACCATTCATTCCGGACCTGTTTTGTCAAACCAAATTTTGGTCCCCTTCCCCGATGAAATGTAGAGTGGTGCCGTGAGGAAGAAAGTTTCGGTCCTCTTCCCCACTCAACCTCTACAGGGCCTGGGCACTGTCGATTTTGGCCAGGTACTTCATGACAACCGTTCCCTTGCACATACACGTCCTCACTCGCTAAAGCCCCTACCCCGAGCACATATAGACGGCTTCGCCATGTCCGTTCGCGATGCACATGCACGTACGTATTCGCCAAAAGCCCGTCCCTCATGCACGTCCTCGTACCCCATCTCCCATGCACATGCACGTACGTATTGCCCGACCGTTCCCCATGCGCATGCACGTACATATCCGACAGAAGCCCATCCCTCATGCACGTCCACGTACCCCATCTCCCATACACATGCACGTACGTATTGCCTATCGTTCCCCATGCACATG